ACACAATCTCGTTGCTATGTTATGTTCTCTATTTCATCACTGCACCATCACTAGGAGCTAAACCCCAGGACAGTAATATCCATGCATTCCTTTTTTTTTTTAATGAGGTCTTTCCGTGAACTTAAAAACTTGTAATGGAAGATAGTGAGTTTAATAACTTTAAAGTTATTTTTACTACAGGACTGTAATTCACTACCAATTCTCATTATTATGATAAATTTCCAATTCTCTGTGTTACACAAAGCAAAAACATCACAAACATGTCCATTTGCTCTGTATGCATACTAAAATATTTCTAATTTTCAAGAGCATTTCAAAAATAGTTGCTCAGAAATGGAGGGAGGAAAACCCTACAATCCATTACTTATTATCAGCTACTTATTTCTCAGAGAAATGTGTATGAAGCAAAAATCTCATCTCTCTGAACAGTTTCCCGTTTAAGACATTCTTCTCACTCAACTCAGGTTTCTGATTCCCATTTTACAGGTTTTGATGTGACAGAAATTTATTTCAGGAATGAACACTGACATATTAACAAACAGGCTGATAGAATTTGTGTCTGCAAAGTGCAAACTCTAGTAGATAGCACTGTTAATAGGTCCTCATGGGAGTATATGCTCAAAACTCCTTTTTGAGCTGAAGTTTAATGGGATAGAACAATGTTGGAGGTCCCTGGTATCTGCACAGATAGATTATTCTTTCAAAGACAAAAGGAGTTCTGATTTTGTGTCATTAATCCCAGTTCAGCTTACCTTCTCACTGATTCTGTGCCAAACACTGAACCTTAGCTGCTTGTGCCCCCTTCGAAGGTTCCTGCACACTGAAGGTTCCTCTGCTCTCTGTTCCCACGAAGGGTGCTGTGATCCCGTGCTCAGAATGAACCTGAAGGAAGGACTAGAAAAGAAAGACATTTTATTCAAGCTGCCCGTACTATATCAGTATAAACAGAGATCCCACTTGGCCTGGGCTGAGTGCCGCCTTTGGATTAATGTGCTGCACAACTCTCTGCGAAGTCTAGTCTGGGATTTTCTCCACATCCTTTAACTGATCTGGGGCCTGTTCTCCATCATCCATCAGGATTTATGGGCAGCCTGGGCTAGATTTTTATATCATGATGAGAACACAAAGAATTCAGGCACCTTGGCAACTAATAAAAGCTTTCTGTCTGTCATTCATAAATTAATGTACTAGTGTAAAATAAGGAGACTGATTCCTTTTTAGCTAAGAAATTAGTGAACAGTAGCAGAAATATTGGGAAGCCAGCAGGAGATGTACTATATAATTAAACTGTTGTCCTTGATGATAAGTTATTATTAGAAGGCAACAAGATATATGCATCATTAAAAGCCATCTTACAGTACTTCGTGCTATAACAGATGAGGTATATCCTTAGTGGCAGCATAGGGTGATCATTCAGACATTGTTGCCATTATAGCTGCTATAAATTACAACTTAACAGTTTAATAGTTTACCAATTGACTCTAGTGCCAGTGATTAAAAATTCTTTACCAAAAAGAGGGCTGATTTTTTTTTATTTTGCCCACCAATGAACTGTTTTTAAAAGCCTGCTTTATAAAAATAAATACATTTAGACAAGAAAGGTTGTACTCTGTGATAGTTAAAAAAATCTTATAACAAAGTTGTTGACCCAGCCCACCCATGGCCAGAATTTATTAAATGTATTAGGGTGTGGTTTTGTAAATAAAAATACAGGATAAAAATATTTACTGGCTGTAATTTATTTTTGAGTAGGCAGATCACCATATTCTAAACCACTAGCCAGAAATATTTCCCACTGCACCTTTTCCTGGCTGCAGTCTCTGCCAGAAGGCTGTAATTTCCTTCCCTAGAATTTAAGCTATAAATAAGGACAGCATGGAAAAGTTTATTGTGTCTGCAGGAGAAAGGACTTGGGTTCATCGATGGCGTCACATCACCGTCTGCCACAGATTCTTTTTGTGCAGACACTAATTTGACAATGCAGTTGTTGCGAAAAGGATCTTGTAAACCACTCATGCTGTAGAAGATCCATTTTTTGTAAAGGAATAACAACAGTGACAAGGTTTTTTTGCAGATATCTTCAATAAATTTTTTTTAAAAATTAACATATTAATATTGGTTCTTATTGGTTGGTAAGTAACATGATAGAAAGTTAGGCATGAACTCTGTGTCCTCTTCTGATGCAGCATTGGCTAATTAAGAATTATGGCTCTTCTACCAGTGGTTCCTGCAGGTGTCTCTGGCAAGTGACAGTGTCATCATCTGTCTTCCTGTAAGGGAAAGTAGGAACCTTACCTGCCCTTGCAGAACTAAGGAGAGGTTTTGCAGGGATGTGGAAATCTAGACACCTGCAGATGGTTACTGCTGCCAACCTACCTGTAAGAATAAAAGATATCAACATGAGCTCACTTGTTCAAAAATAACAAATTATATCCGTTTGTGTAAGCCGTGCAGTCATGTAGCCTCGGGTTCAATGTCATTTTAACCTCAGCCTGAATGCTGTGAAAATAACGGACACAGTAACAGGCATACCTGTTAAAACCAAGGGTGTGTAGTGTGCTTGTAAGAACATGGAATGGGAGTCAGAGTAGCTCTCACAGGCTCATCTATTGTAGCCTGTGGCAGAAAAACAAGTTTGTTGCACTGGTAGTGTATTTTGGTAATGGTGTAGTTGGTAGAGTTTTTCTTTATTCTTCTTCTTGGCAGGGTAAACAGGTCAAATGGCATTTCATATTCCTGAGGTTTGATTAATTCTGATACTACATGATCAGTTGTACTCAGGGCTGTCATGTGCAGTGTAGAGGCTGGGCAGCAGAGGGGATGGGAAGGAAGGTGGCAATGGGAGCACACCTGGGACTGCACTGGGTCCTGTTCTCAGCCTGGTAAACCTGTCCTGCAATGACCAACACCAGATGCTGGTAATGGCCAAAGTTATCAGATTGGGGTTCCCATATACTGCCTCATTGCTTATAGCATTTCTTGTAGGAGGGAACTCAGAAAATCATTATTGATTGTGAAAGATCTGCTTTAAGGAGCTTGTCCAAACCACAGGGAGGTGGTGAGACGAAGGCAGGGACAGATGTCTTTTCCTCAGGGCTGCACCCAGCTGTCTTTGTCCCTGAACCTATGTTTTCATTCTGTGAGCTCCTTTCTCCTTTTCTACACATCTTCCTTTTTCAAACAAGGACATTTATACAGGTTTGGGTTTTTTTTCTTCCAGGAGCTTGGTCCATTCAGTGAGCACAATCTATTTGGTTCATAAATCCTGTAAGAGTAAAAGGAAATCATTACATCATACTGTGATTAAACATTTAATACCTTTCTAAAATTATGCATTCATGGGAAGGCAGTGAGTACAGGGTTGAGTTTCATGTTCTTGAGTAGAATATGCTTTAGTGTTCATAAATCCTTCTACTTCTGCTACACTCAGCCTTTCCTCCTTCCTTTCACCTCCACCATATCTTAAATTCTTTGCTGTGCTCTCCATCCTGTCAAATTCCACTGCTGTGCACCGGCAGCATCACTGATTTCTGTTCCTCACCCTTTACCATTACACATACAAAGATTTTTACTTGCCTTGGAAGCTCTGAGATGGAATATGTTCTTGTCAGTGAAGAGATTTCTTGGAGACCACCTACACAGTGCCAACAAATCTCTTCTGCGATTATGTAAATCAACTAAGCCACTCACGACTTGGCCCCAAGTTTATGCAGGTTTTCTAGACTGCCAAACTTGAAACACTACTAAAAAGCAAAGCTTTAATTAAATACTTGTAAACATTTTCTTTATATGAAAGAAATGCATATTTTCTGCTAATATGCTTTTGGAAATGACTGAACTACTCTTAAAGGGACTTACGAGACAACCACAAGCCTGAGTAAGTAATTCAGTGTAGGAAATTCCAGCTAACAAGTTCACCTTGACCAAAATAAAGGTAACTGAAACTGGGCCTTATTGTTTGATTACCCAGCTGCAGAGGGCCCTAACAAAACTTTAGGCAATTGTGCCCTTACATATATAGAAACAGGACTGTGTTCTCAGCCCATATCTTTGAAATTCTCAGTGTTTAATTTAATTTTTGAAGAAAATGTTTATGCAGTCTCACATGTATGTGTGTTTACATATTTCTGCCTCCGTCCTCCATCACATATTTTTTTTAATTCAAGGCCTATTGAATTAAAATAGGCATAGTATAGTTTACATTGGAAGAGGCATCTACAGGACCCTTCTTCCAGCCTCCCACCTCAAGCAGGGCTAACTTCAACATTACAGCAGACAGCAGGCTTGGTTGATTTCTCAGCACCTCTGATGATGGAGCTTCTACAGCTTCTGTAGGCAGACTCCTTCACAAATTTATTTTCTTGTAGATTATGCTGGGTCTGCTTTTATAAGAAATACTAATACTAATGTCCAAATTAACTGTTCTGGCAACATTTTCTACTGTATATATACTGTTTATACTGTTTTCATTTTCTACTGTATGTCTTCAAGGTCTTGCTATGAGTACAAACCAGTTACTTGAACAAAAATTTTCTTGTTTCTCCAACCCCAACACTTGCAAGATTTGAAAGCCAATCAAATCGGGGAAAAAAGTTATAAAGGTGAAGGGAAACATTCCAATGTTTTGGAACCATTCCACAGGTTTTATTGTATCATCTGTAGAACGGTAATAAAGAGGAGGATGAGCTGGCTAGACAGTCACTGTGATTGTTACGAGAAGTCACAAAAAATCATCCTTTGCTGACAATATTAATTTTCCAGGGAGACCCTCCCTTATGCTGCAGCATTCAAAAATCAGCTTCTCTTATCTAAGTAAAAACAACCCTTTTAAAAAGTCTGTGTCCTGTGTTTTCCATTAATTTAGAAGATGTAAAGGCAACTTGCAGAAGCTAATTGCGAAATCTCAGCAGCTTCCTGCTTTGAATGAACTTAATAGATGGGCTGAAAGCCACTCAGAAATCTATTGCAACATTGTATGTACTTTTTTTTCCCCCTTCTAGGTCTCAAAATGTAATTTCCTGATCCAGATTCTGTGCTTCTCTTCTGAGTAATGGTCCAGCAGGCAGGATGCTGGGGATGGCACGGCCAACACAAAACTCAGCTGGAGCACTGAGCAGGCTGGAGACTCAGGTAGGTGTCACTTAAACAACATGATATTTTAGGAAATTTCAGCAAAGCTTTTAAGATTATTTTGCAACCCAACAAGAAAACTAGGTAACGGAGCAAATATAAAGCTTGGAAACCTTTCCAGTATTTTAGATAATTTTCTGTTTTTCTACTCGTTGTTCACTTATACTAGAATTACATAGTAAATAGGCCTGGGTTTTTTCACATTTGTATTTTTCACAGTTAATTTGTGGCACAGCAAGTTCTAGCAGATCTTCCCTCCTGCTTGGACCTAATGACTATGACTGATCTTTCATAAAATGAGGCTAAAAGCCTTGACCCACAAGGGTGTTTAATATAGGAGGAAAATCCTTGCAAGTGTCCAACCTCGTTAACACTCTTCAGAGCTCCTCAGCATGTCTTGAGCTTTCTGTATCAGCTGCATTTCCAGAAGGCAGTGTGGCCAGGTGACCTTGTTATAACCCCAAAGACATTAGCATACGGTGGTGTTCCAAAACAGGTTCTGCAAGAGGCTGCTGTGCGCAGAGTCGAGATAGTTGATTTATTAACAGTTCTGCAAAGAAATGGGGAATGGGTAGCAAATCCACAAAGCCAGTACAACAGCTGTAAAAACTTTTCACTAATTATACATTTTATCAAACAAAGGCATTAATATTCAGGGCTACAAGTTACATAGTTCTCTTGTTAATTATTGTTCTGTCTTCTATTGGTTAACTAACTCCTCTCACTTCTTACACTCATTAGTCTTCATGCTCAGTCTTCTCTCTTCTTTTGAGTTGGTGGGTTACTTGAGTTAGTGGTCATGATTTCCCCGTAATGGAATTACCTTTACCCATTCAGAACCCATTTCCATACAGTTACCAAGTGGGCTTTATTAGTTTCTTCCTTATCTTGGGAGTTCTGCCTTGTGGCCCATAAGTTCTGTATTCTTTGTGTCCACTATCAGTCGTGCACCTTTCTCCCCAAGATCACTGAAGCACGCCCAGCCCTAAACTTCAACGAGGCAATTCTACCAACAAGTAACTTATCTTCTGAACACCTGGACACTGATGGCATCCAGTAACCCCCTACCTGCACTGGAAGGCCACTCCTTACCTTCCTCCGGGTCAGCAGGGAGACCTGTTGCTGAGGGACCTGGCAGTCTGAGATGGGATTCACCCATTTCCAAACACTTGATTGTCCCACAACAGCAAGCAGAACAGAGGGCTGCCTGCATGGTACCTTGCCATGAAGGAAAAAACAGAGTGCAGTAGGGCTTCAAAGCAGGCAGGCACCATGCTCTGCCTCCACGATTCCTCCACAGCCTCATCTCACCTGGCCTTCCCTGCCAGCGTGCTCCAATATGGATGAATAGATCCCTGTGCAAAGCTGGTCTGCCTTAATATAAGGGAAAAGTGAAGCTGTTGCTTAGGACAGGTTGTATTCTATTTACAGTAAATTTTGATCAAAGTTTCTTTAGCTTCTTCACTCCTAAGGGTGTAATTGCTGATAATTGAAAATAGAGCTCATCTTTTCCGCTGGCCTTCCAGCTGCTTTTCTGCAGAAGTCATGGAACCAATTTATCAGCTCAAAACTCAGTTGGCCCTTGATTACCCAATAGCCAGAGGGATTATATCAGACTCTTAGCTTTTATTAAAAGAAAGAAAAATATAGACCTCCTGATTCTGAAGAAAAATTTGAAACTCCAGTCCCACCAATGTAGCCTATGGAAAGTTGAGAGGATTGAAGCAGACGGCAGCAGTTTATGGCACAGATGAAGAATACAGCCATACAGAGAGAGTAATTTGTCATAAGATTTGTTTCTTGCTTCTGTTCAACTCCTTACCATTTTGCTGTTTGTATTCTGTTGTGAGACTGGGCTGAAACACGAAAGATCACTATTAGGAAATCATAGTAATTTCTGCTTGTTGTTGGCTTCAGGTGTCTGTGACTACTGTGGCCTAGAGAGCTGCACAGATCTCCTTGTAATGGGCCTTGTTATAGTGTTCCCACTTCTACATATTTGTGGCCTACACTTCTACCATTTTCTGCATTATATTCCATCTCTCCACACCAGACTATAACTCCCTGAGCCTCGTCCCTATACTTTTAGCCTTCTGCCTGTGTTCTCATATAGAGAAGCAGGTCCTGGCACTTCTCAGATGGCACTGAAGACGTGATACATGATATTTGTTAGTGGCAGAGCAGGTCATGAGTCACTATCTTGAGCAGGCACAAGTTACTGCATGCGAGTTCTTCCGCAGTGATTGCCTGTAGTACATGTGAGTCAAGTTAAGGTTATCAACACTTCTAAGCTTGTAAAAAAATCAAATGCATCTCAAGTTGCTATTTATGCTGAGCATTTCAAACACAAATACAACCAGTGTTGTTTTGACTTCAGTATTTCTCCAACTGCTCTTAAAGAATATAAAAAGGTATTACTCATGTAGCAAGACGCCAACACAGGATTGTGTGACTATCTCAGTAAGTAAGCTTACTTTGCCCCCTGGTCATACTAATGTTGCTTCTATTATGACTTATCTATTTAAAGACCCTCGTCCTTCATGATAACTTAAAAGTCATGTCTTCTGGAAGCAATTCTGTTTGCTTCCAAAGCCAGTGAACATTTTTAAATACAACTCTACCACTACCCCTTTTAAAGGTTTATGCAAGTTTATTCATCTGGTATTTTTGCTGTTACTTTATCATCTCTTAAATTAATCATTCTAATCTGTTTCTCTTATCTATACACAGTGAATGATGTAGCTGTGAAGGTGCAAACAAAAAGACAACCTCCTTCCTAATAAAGCTTAGTATCTAAAAACTTGTGTAACATGCAGCCAGGTGCAACGTATACGTGTAACATCTACGTTTTACTTACTAGAGTAAAAAAATGTAGATAAGTTGAAAATATTAAATCATTGTAAAATAATCTTCTATGAGGAAAAAGCTGAGTGGATTTCAGCCACTAAGAATACATTGTTGTGCACTCTGTTATAGTTTTGTACAGATTTTTTTTTCTTAAAATCCTTAGTGATCAATAAGGATTTGAACTGGATGATGCTTTTCTAAATAAGCTATCTTTTCATTTGTTTTTAACAGAATATTTATATAAAATACTTTCTTAGAATCTACTGCACAAAAGCTAACTAAGCACGTTCTGATAATGTTAGAAGTGTCGGAACAGTTTCCAGAGATCAGCTCAAAAAGGTATCACTCACTGGAACAGACAGGTAGTTACAACAATACCAGAAAATTAATAAGCAGGGTTCCCAGTCAGTTTTCCAGAAATCAGATCAGTTTTTCATTATCAAAATAATTTGTAGTAACTGAATCTCTGTTGGTCACTTTGCTTTGTTTTCTCCATACACTAGAAGAAAAGGTGCCATAAACAAAAAGTTAGAAAGTAGCTGGTCCTTGGGAACTTGTCAGGGTAGCAGTCAAAGAAAATATGAATCTACAGACTCACAAATAACCCGTTATCCTTAGTGTAGCAACTGTTGTTTCTGCATGCACTGAACTAGCTCCTGTGCAGTGCCAGTCTGGGGGCTGTGTGATGCTCTTAAGTGGTGGTATAGAAGGACATTGTTCAGGAGATTGCTGAATAAAAGCTTTTTTTCTGAAATTTGTCTTTAATATAAACCATTAAATTAATGTAAAAATGAGAATAAAATAAATAAAGGGACTGGGGAGACGTATGTTTCACCTGGTGTCTGGTTCCACTGATTCTAAGAGCTACTAGTACTAGCAGGATTTTTCATTCTCTTAGAAGTTTCTAGAATAGTTTACCATATGGTTTGAAGCTACAAATTGACTAAATTACATGTTATTCTTATGTATGTATCTCTCGCTGAATTTGAAAGTTTAAAAGATGTGGTTAGAGTATTCCCTTGCTCATATTAGGGAATCTGAAGTAAATGTAATATTTCTTAATTTTTTATGTCTTACAGAAAAGGGAGTTGTTTTGTCATTTCACTAAAATGCATTAGCAGCTACATTTGCAGGGCTACACATACATTTACATTATCTTCATCTTTTCTTCACAGTCTCGTTATATCAAAATTTATTTTTAAGAAGATCACTGAAGTGCCACCAATACCTATAATTCATTCATTCACTCATGAAAATTTTTAAAATCAGCCCCAATCTTGGTTGTTAATTTCTTTTCTCTGAAAGGTGTTAAAATGCCTGTTCGTTACTCAGTTGAGTCAGTGAAACTCTGTGCCAGTTCAAATTGAGTGTTAGGCCTATTTATCTGCTGAAGGAATAAAACTCACTGCACACAGCCCTTGACTTCTGGTGTTCAGAATGTGCAGTTCTGTGAAGGATTACACATTGCTACTGAGAGTGCATTTTCTCCTACCTCCCTTCCCATCATCAATATATTAAGCATTCTTTTTTTTTTTTTTTAACACTATCAACTTTAGGTCTACAACTGGAACATAGTCATATAAAATAGCTTTTATTAGCTATTTCATAGTCATGTTTGAATGAAGTTTTCTGTGCAGTATTTTGTTACACCTTTGTAACCATCTAGCCAGTTGTAAACTACATTTATTCTACTGTACTTTAAACCTACTAAGGTTGCTGGGAAAATGAAAAATCCAGGCATATTCAGTCTCCATATTCACACTCAAAGGTATTTTTGACAAACACCAACCATGTAACTAACTCTTCAGTATAAGAGTTAAAATTTATCAAAGTCCTAAAAAGAAAGAAACTACAGGTGAGCATAGAAATTAGGTTGCAACTTCAATGGGCATTTCTATGAATTACTACATAACAATTTTTTAATTATATAATTTTGAGAAGTGAGATAGTTAGGCTATAACATGGTGGACATGATTGCTATGTGAGAAATTTCCAAGAAAACCAGAAGCAACTCAGGAGAGTTTTGCTCTGTTTCCTTTCTGAAGAAAATTGCCTGTTGGAGTCAAGCCTCCTAAATTACAGTTTTCCTTCAGTACTATGATAGGTTGCAGACTTGCCTTCTCCTGTCCTTGCTCCAGTGTCTTCCATCCTCT